TTAATTGTATTGGCCGTGAATGCACACAACGAGACTCGGGACTGCGTGGACCATTAAATTTTGTCGTGAAGTACTGTAGCCTGGCCGCGGGGGCCAGTGCCTGCCAGGGTCGGGCGGGTCGCAATTTTCGGGGGTACTGTACGCAGCCTGACAACCTGAACTTATAATCTTGATACTGCTGTCTGTTTCCTCAATGATCCTCCAAGAAGCTTGAAATTACCGGATTTCCTGGCCGATTCTATGTTCTTTACACACATGTTTCCCTTCCCTGTGGCTTGGTCTCGTAAATATATGTACATACTTGCGTCGACCGGGTGCATTCGGGAATAAGAGAGTCTGCAAACGGTGGGCAAGTGAATCGTGGTGTGTTTTCACCGTGGAACCTATCACAGCACATAGAGCAGAAGGAAATGAAGGCATTTGAAGCCATTTTGATGTTGTAAGGACTACTGTTACAGAGGAGCGCAGAAGCTGTGATTTAAGATTCTCGATGCGTCAGATGATTGTGGAGGCTGTGGTACATTCACAAAGTGAACATTTGCAATAATTCCGATGCAAGCTGAACAACTAGGCTCAGCCCCTAGGCCCATGCCAACTTGGAAGACGGACAAGAAAATCGTCAATTGCTGCTTCGTCGCGCACGGCACTGGACGTTTCATTAATCTACACTACCTTTTCGATTGGTGCATCGGATTTCATGTAGACAAGCACATGGTGGAAACTTATGCCTGTTTTTAGGTATACGTTGTCTATTCTCAATCAATATCATTGCGTGCGCGACGTCACACGCGACGCCCACTGGCGCGGCGAATTGCGATTCTCTTGGCACATACCCTGCCAACCCCAAGTGGCTGCTAGCTACTAGCTAGTAGTCCACTATGCTATCTCTCTCCATTCCGAATGGTGAGAGTGAGGTGGACGAAAAAAAGAGCTGATATCGTTATCATAACCACGTGGAACTTCGTACAAACCCGCATTCTCTTCACTGTGTGCACGTACCTGTTGGGATCGGCATGAAATCCTACATAGGGCACTTTAGACTGTTTTTCTGTTTTTCTTCTTCGCTATCCGGTCATTTAGTGCTGAGCCTTTCGCATTTGAGCTGCATCACCCACCACCCGTACCGCGGGCTTGGATCAGAATTTGCGATTGGTGGCAGCCTGGAATCATAGATGTACTCGCTCATGAGTTCACCTTGCTCTAGATGGCGCTCCATGACGGCAGTTGTCGATGACAAGATGATACCAGAGAGCCTCAAGTCAAAGATCTACAAATCTGTTGTTCGAGCAGTAGCGTTGTACTTGACTGAGTGTTAGTCTGCAACCACAGATCTATTGCCCCTCACATAATGAGGGCGGCCAGCGTATTGCGTATGGATAGTATCTGCAGTGACTGCACAAGCAGAGATTCGAAGGGTCTCCGTAGCCGATAAAATGCGTGAAACTCGCTCCCGGTTGATCGGCCATGTATTTCGCCGACACCGTCTGGAAAAAACTGTTCTCCAGCTCAATGTGCTCCGAAAGCGAACTGCGATACGCCCGAACATCGCAGGCTCGGCACGTTCAAGGAACGGTGCGCGATGACCTGTGAAAATGTAAAAAGGTAGGAAATGCAAGGGAGGTAGTGTGGCTCAGAGGACAACCTTATACCAGTTTCCGACGAAAACTTGTAAGGTGAAGGCACTAAAGTAAGGCCAAAGCTGCTCTGATGCCAGCTCTCTCTCTCTCTTTCCTTCCGCTTCCAGACTCCGCTACCTCTCTTTCCTTGCGCTTCCAAACTTCACTCCCAAGGTCTGCCCTCGTACAGAAAACGATGCCATTCAAGAGGGCTCCTATCACAAGCGCTATCTGTTGCGTGCCTCCAAAGTGAAGTACCAATTCAACATGAAAGAAGCATTTCGAGCCCTTTTTTCGTTCCTTCTAGAAATCAACGCTGCCAACATTCCAACTAGAAACCTTGAAAGGATTCTATGCCTTTCACTTGTAGTAAATAAGAACTGAATCGCTCTCATCATCTTCTAACAAGGGAGGTCGTTCAGGTCGTGGTGAGCTTTTTAAAAACGGTTTGTTGCATGATGTAGGGATCACATGAAGGCCACACAGATAGGGTTCATTTTTGCTAAACGGTATTGGGAATGCCAAAAGGGTCGAAAAAATTCGAAAAGAATGGGCGATTTGAACCACCTTGCTCAGCTCCGTTCTAGCTGTATCGTTGAGAGTGTATAGGTTATGAGGTGAACTTTGAGTAGACATGAAAAACAACGCAGAAGAAGGTCAACATCCAAGAACTTAACGTGACACCGTAGATTTCCGTCGCACTATCCGCTACACCATCCGTCCACTGCGACGGGTGAGATGCGGGAGCCATTGAAGAAGCATGCTGGGATGACGATGAAACTTTAATGTAGCTCACCACATGCCAGGTGAAGTACTTGGATTTTGACCTTCTTCTGCGTTGTTTTTCATGCCTACTCAAAGTTCACCTCAAACCTTTACAATCTCAACGATACAGCTAGAACGGAGCTGAATAAGTTGCTTTAAATCACCACTTTTCCCCAATTTTTCTCGAC